CTGGGCGGGCGGCGGCGGTGAGGCGCGGAGGGGGCCGCGGCGGCCATGGGGGCCTTGACGAGCCGGCAGCACGCGGGCGTGGAGGAGGTGGACATCCCGTCCAATTCCGTGTACCGCTACCCGCCCAAGTCCGGTGAGGCCGGAGGAGGGGCGCGGGGAGGTGGGGACCGTGCGTCGGGATGCGACACGGTGGCTGTGGCGGCTCTGGAACGGGCTTCCCTGGGGAGGGTCGTCGACAAGGCCCGGGCGCCCCGCGCTGCCCCGGCGAGCTGGATGCGGCAGGCCCGGCGGGGTCACCGGGGTCACCCTCCGCAGGGGACGCGGGCGGCGCAGTGATAATCCGCCCCGCGACGGGGACGCGCGCCGGCGGATGCGCGTCTCGGGGCGGTCGGCGCCGCGCGCGGGGACCGGCGGTCCCAGGGGAGACGGCCTCGGCCTCGGTGACGCGCACCTGCGCCAGGTGCTGCCCCTGGGCTGTTGCATCCGGGACCCGGGAAGGTTAGAACGAGGTTTGCCGGGGAAAAGCTCCCGTGGCCTGTTGGGAGAGGGAGGACCAACCTGCTTTTGCAAGGCTGGTCCTTTTCTAGAGACGGTCAGAAGAAAAAACAAAAGTGTTTCCACAGAAACGTTTGGGAATCTGAATCTGGGAGTCACTCGGGTCGTCCCATTGCCAGGAGAGCCGCACGCATGATTTTCGGCCTAGGCGTAGGTATGAGGTGTGTAAGTGTACAGGAGCGTTGTGTTTGTAGACGCGCACCTTCGGTTTAAAAGGTGGCTGCCTCCCGCCGCAGGCGTGTGGCATCAGCACTGGAAACGCAGGATAGCAGCGGAGAATCCCAGCATCGCCCATTCGAGTGGGCACCAGCCCATCTGAACTGCTGGCACAGGACCAGGGTCTGCTCTTTATTTTTTAACTTGGTCTTTTCAAGACTACTGGGGACCCATGGATACCACCTTCTCTCCGGTTTGGGATCTAGTGGAGATTTGGGTGATCGCGGAGCGAGTGAGGTGTCAGAATTGGAGTGGAGCCATTCGCCTTTCGGCAGAATAAAGACATGCTAATGAGAGGAGCTGGTTTCTCAGCAGTGCGTCCAGTTTCTGCCAGGTGAACGCAGGGGCCAGACAATGAACCTGCCTCCCTGCAGAGTGTCTGCCAGAGCTCTGTTTCGCACTGCTTTTGTGCCAAAGAATGAATCCTTCAGAAATGAGTGTGAGCAAAAGCTGCTTTAGGAAGCTTTGTCACAGAGCTGGGGATCATATTTTAATAAAGCTGTGGCCCACCATGACTGCATGAAACAGTGCTAAAGAAGACAGGCATCTCGTTTATTTGTTTATTTATTTTTGAGGTAACTGGGAATTGAGCCCAGGGCCTTCATACGGAGTTAAGTCCCTAGCCCTTTTCTAATTTTTAAAATTTTGAGACAGGGTTTTCCTAAATTGCACAACCCGTACCTCAAATTGGGATCCTTCTGCCTCAGCCTCCAGAGTGCTGAAATTTTAGGTATTCCCACTCCCAGCTGATTAGTTTAAAAGGATGAAAGGCATATGGTGAAAATTTGTCCTCACTGCTCTTGTGCATTCACCTAGTTCCCCTTCCTCTCCCATATAAACCTCCCAACCACATGTAACTTTTGTTTTCTTTGGAATTCTTCCAGAATTTTCTTTCTTTTTTTGTTTTTTGAGACACGCTTTTGCTATGTAGTTCAGGATGGCCTTAATTCACTGTGTAGCCTACGTAGCCTTGAATTTGCAGTGATTCTCCTGCCTCAGCCTCCAGAGTGCCTGGGATTACAGGCTTGCACACCACACTTGGCTTCTTCTAGAGTTTCTTATAGAAATACTGTACGAGCATAGCATGCTATTGATACTGTTAGACCCTTGTTCTTTCACTCTCAGAGTTATGAGAGATCCTTTCATATTCTCTATATTTGAGAGCTTTTGTTCTTTTTAACATCTGTATAATATTACTCTAATGTGTGTCATTGGTTTTTTTCAGTCTCTTATTGATGACTTTTTTGGGGTTTTCAATATTTTACAACTGCAAACATGCAGCAGTGAATACTCATGTTACCCATATGTTCTTAGGTGAATTTTAGCTTTGTTAGTAAAAGCATGAATAACAACCATTTAAGTAACAGAAAGTGTGAGGGAGTTAGTTTATATATAGTGTTTTTCTTTTCAATTAGCATACAAGCCAGGCTTGATGGCGCACACCTGTAATCCCAGCACTTGGGAGGCTGAGGCAGGAGGATTGTTTTGAGTTTGAGGCCAGCCTGAACTGCATAGTGAGACCCTGTCTCAAAAAAGACCAAAAAACAAAATTTAGCATACAAACCAATTTTATGCTAGCTACTCAAATTTCATTGTGACTTTTAAATTTTTGAGTTAGAGGTCAGAGATGCTTTTAATCCTTAGCTAAGATCTTTTCTTCTTTAAAAGCCCATGTTTATTTGTTTAGCAGAGGTGTGATTTTGCTGAGGTGATTGTTTTTATACATACATGCACATTTTGTAACAGGAATGTCCACATTGATAAAAGCCATTAGATCTGTATTTTCTATGCAGGAAGAAATAGACACACTATAAAGACAGCTGAATTCTCATCAGTCTAGTTCCATTTCTCTATGCAGATTTGAGCAGACTGTAAAATGTAATTGTTTATTTTATTAAGTCTTAAGAGATAGAGCTTGTATAAAATTCAGAACTGTAATCAGAGTCTTGAACAGTTAACCTAGTTAAACCTTAATTTTTGCTTTCAATTGATTGGATGAAGGTCCCTCACTCCTGTTATTGAGGGTAATCTCCTTTGCTTAAAATTGTCTGATTGTAGATGTTAATCACTTGTATATCATCATCCTCCAGATTTTTGTAATATTGGAGTATGCATTTGCTTATTAAATGAGTTATCCCATGGCAAGAGCAGTTTTTTAAAGCATAGGATAAGCTTTTGCCTGTCAAATACTGTAATTTTTATAAAAATTTCTTCAAGCTTCTTCAAGTGGATCAGTCTATTTATTTATATAGGCACTAGCTGGGGATATAGCTTAGTGGTGTAGCCCCTGTCTGCAAGGTCCTGAGTTTGATTCCCAGTACACCCCCAAAAAATAAAATAAAAAATATAAATAAAATAATAGGTGCTAAGGGATGGAACCCAGAACCTTGTGCATGCATTTCTTTTCCTACTTATTACTGAGCACCTGCTATATACTGTGCATTGTGCTTGCACCAGTATGTAGGGGCTTTTTCCCCACCCACTCATCCAACAACTATTTATTGAGATCATATTATGTCTTTAGGCTTGAGACAAAGGAGTAAGCAAAATTGGCAATCTCACCCTTCCATCCCAAATCCCTAGGAATGAGAGAGTATGTGCTTTTAACACTAGCAAACAAAGGCTATTCATGATGCCTCGAGACCATGAGGAATCCTAAGAGAGGGAAAGTAGGCAAAATTAGACCAGTAAAGCAAGCACTGCTGTGAATGCACCTGTAGAAGAATCACAGAAAAATGTGCTCTCAGCCTGTATATGACAGAAGGGAGCCAGAGTACATGACCAGGCCAGTGATTGGGGTCATCAGGAAGATCATACAGGCAGCAGGATTCCTTCATGACTGCCTTTGATCCTTTTGGGCCAGGTAGTGGGGATAGTTGGAGATTTTGGCATCCTTTGGTCACAGGAGCAGAACATTGCTCAGGCAGCAAACACAGCCCAAGGGAAGGAGTTCCATTTCTCCAAACCCTACTAGTTTCCTGTCCCAACAGTAGGCAGCAGGCACCTTTGTTTGTTATGCTGGGCAGGTTGAAGTAACCCCTGGAGCACATAGCGGTGTGTGGGTTCTTATCCATATGTTCATGGTTTTTATTTATTTATTTAGTTAGTTAGTTAGTTAGTTAGTTAGTCTTCTTGAGACAGGGTCTCGCTATGCAGTTCAGGCTGGCCTTGAGCTTACTTGGTAGCCCAGGCTGGTCTTGAACTCGCAACGATCTTGCTGCCTCAGCCTCCCGAGTGCTGGGATTACAGGCATGCACCACCACATCCGGCCTGTGTTCATGGTTTTAGTGTCTGTGGCAGGTAGCAGGGTAGATGACCCCATCAAGTTTGTGATTTGTGATGTGGGCCATGGAATGCATTGCTAATAATGCTAGTTCGTATTTGGTGGCTGTGGCAATCAGGGTTCTGCAGAGTAGAAGAACTAACAGGACATATATATGAGACTTAACTTTGAGGAATTGACATACATGATTGTGGGGCCTGGAAAGTCTTGAAAATCTCTATGGCAGGCCAGCTTACTGGAAGGATTTCTGTGTTATACTGTTGAGGCAGAATTCCTTCCTCTCTGGGAAAACTCAGGGTTTACTCTTAAGTCCTGTCATGAATTCAATGAAGCCTACCCACCTTATCCAGGATAATATCTTTTACTTAAAGTCAGCTGGTAGAGATGTTAATCATCTCATTAAATCCCTCATGCCAGCATCTAGACTAGTATTTGGGACAGACAACTGGATACCACAGACTGGCATCAACAACATAACTACCACTATAGCTTCCTATTTTATTTATTCTTGCTAACTAGTTGGTAAGCTTGAGTTTGTAGTTGCTGAAAGAGTGCTTCACATGCAAAACAAAAATTACACAGTGTTAAAAAATCATTATTTAAAGATTACACTATTATTGGGCACACAGTGGTACGTGTTTATAATCTTAGCTACTGGGGAGGCTGAGGCAGGAGGATTGTAAATTTGAGCCCAACCTGGGCAACTTTGTGAGACTTTATTTCAAAATAAAAATAAAAAGGTCTGGGATGGTGCATGATCATGTATGGTGAGACAGGAGGATTGTGAGTTCAAGGCCATCTTGCACTAGGTAGCAAGAAAAACAAAACAAACAAATATATAAACATGGCGGCTGAGGATGTGGCTCAATGGTAGAGGGCCCCCTGGGTTCAATCCCCAGTACCACCCCCATGACCCCAACAAAGATTATACTCCTTCTAAAATTTTAGTTCTTGTCATTTAGTGGCAGGGGTAGGATGCATACACTACAAAGATAAATGAGTATACATAATATATTATAACCGTATGGGGTCTATCCTAGGCATACAAGGTTGGTTTAATATCTGATGCCTAATGGGTA